TACAGTACATAACCAAGGGTGTGTGTATTAGTTTAAGCCATGTTTGTTCTTGACGAAGGGGCGGGACGGTGGAGGTCTCAAAAGAAGTTATGATGGAGACGGGTTGGCTTCACTTCGATGCATTATGGCGTCATCAATCGTCTGTCTTGTACTCCGTAACTCTTCTTGCGTTCTTGTTGTGGTCCACGATCCACGGTGTTGAGACCTACACGTAGATACACATATATGGAGATTATGCGGATTAGTTAAGTTTTCGGATATTTTCGTTGTTCTTTGGTCTATCAATAGCAGAAAGAAAGGAGGAGGAAGGGGGCCCCAGGTTTATATCTCATAACGAGCCTTTGGGACATCGAAAAAGTCCAGAGTTCCTCCCAACACCACCGTTTCCAACGTCCGTCCCGATTCACCTAAATATATCTTCTTCCGCACTTTGTCCGCGCCAAGTGGGCGGTATGACCTGCCGCGGCGTGCTGGGGAGGCCGTGGCACGGATAGGTAAAAAGGAGATGCCCCCCGATTTCATGGAAAAAGACGTTACAAATTAGAATTGAAAGCGTCGAAATATATGCTGCGATCCGGCTACATCGACCATGTCTTCGACGAGCTAATGATTGTAGTTATTGTTGGGCTAAGGTAAAACAAATCATTCTATTAGGCTCTCTCAGGAGAGTAACTCACCTCCTTGTTTATTTACCAGTATTTTATACGCCAGCGGATCGAAACTCCCCGTCCACATTTGGCGATGATGACAGGCTGGATTTCCTGAATCTGTCAGGTTGCCATCAATGAAAATCAGTGGTGTCTGTATCTGCATTATATTTATGAATCTATCGATGAAGTGGGCTATTCCTGCATCCGAGATCTCGCGGAAAAGCTGTAGATGATGACTGGGTAAGTATTCATCAAACAGGCGAGTGATCCTTGCCATTGAGTCCTTTGCAGCTCGCGAGGAAAGGAGACCAACGGCTGCATCTAATGCTAAAGTGACATAGATGTATTCCACAGTCGCGGAGCTTTGTCGGCATAGCTTCCGGGATCCGAAAGCCCGTTTGACTATACAATGTCTTGCCGGGGTGGCGGAGGATGCGTTTGACATTGCAGGAACAAGTATGCGAACAACAAACCGACAAAACAGTTTGTTGATAGGAGCAGAGATTCAATCAAGCGGCACTGATTCGTATGTAGCGGTGGTTATGATAGGATACCGGAAGTGTAATTGAACATAGGAAGAAGTTTGTGGGGAGATGAAATAGAATCCAGTAGCCCTTTCTATACACTCGTGGAGTAACGGGATATTTCCGGTGTGGATAGCTCTTATCACTAATAAGAGCAGGAGACTCTCGTAGATTCCCTGGCAATATGAATAGCGCTGTTCCACATAGTTTTTGCGGAACAGAACATCAACTGCCATATTTTCAATTGTGAATATACGCCGTTGGATATAGACATGCAATTTGACTATAGCCATTGGTAATTTAGTCTGCGCACAGTTCAGGTGGGCTTTAAACCTCGCCCTCAACGCACAAAAATCCCAGCTATACCTAGGCTATGTAGAATATCTTGTGCGACAGAGTCAATGACATACAGTCCTTGAAGGGCTAGGTCATCTATCTGCGTCGTTCATTAAGTGGAATCAGCAACTGCCAGCCTAACCCCATAATAAATATGTGTTAAATCAGATATATTCGGGAGGCTCATCTGTTGATGGGTGTGTGAAGGCATATATCTGGCCCATCAGGTATTTGTTAATTTCTCATGATATATGGAAGCATGTTTGGAGATTTCGTCGTCTCGCATGATCTTGGAGAACATCACGTAACCGTTATCGAACAGTCTTGTTTACTTTTTTTCCAATTTCTATTGCTTGATATTAGAGGTGGACCTAATAAATAGCTAACTAACAAGTCGACCGCAGCAATGCCGAACCAAAGCCAAGACTCTTTCATAGTACTCAGCTTTCTTGATCATCAAAACATCAAGACTCACCACGATCAAACTTATTCAGAAACTCCGTCGGCACAGTGGGTATATACTTTCTCGCTCTCTCTCGATTGACACCTCCAAACCCCGCACCATAGCTCACAAGCATATCTGTGTTTGTCGGCAGTGAAAAAGGCAGAGTGCTTGTCGGGTTTAGTAGAATCGTTCCTGGGTCTGGTTTCAGTGAATACACTGAAGGAGGGCCAGGCGGCGATGATGATGGAGGTGATTGGGTGATGGCATTGGTGGATTGGTGGTTTTTTGTTGGGTATTGTGTTGGTGGCTCGGCTGCGGAACCTCCATCAGCGGAGATGGTTCTGGGAGGTTTGTCATCGGAAGGGTGGGTGTTTGTAGTGGTTTGTAGCGTAGATTTCGAATCTGCAGCGGGAGGGAGACGAGGAAGCACTTTCTCTTCCGGTTGTGTTATTGGAGATTGTGGGTGGTGGATCTGGGCGAGGAGGGATGGCTCCTTTCGTACCTCAAGGAGATATTTCATCGCCGCCTTTGGGAGGCCCTTCTCACCCACCTCGGGGCGATAGTGTCTCACGGCATGCAGAAGCTGGCTCGGGGTAAGTTGTTGGAGTTGTTGAAGGGTCATGGTGAGGGAATCGGTGTCATCACCCAGTGAGGAGAAACACTGGAGCCACTGAAGCAGTTGGATGACTGGGGCTAGGTATTTTCGAGCAGAATCTACGGTGGTTTCACCAGAGCATAATGTAGAACCGTTCTCGTAGTGCTCTGGTTGTCGATTGTTGTTACGTGCCCAATCTTCTAGTGCAGACACGTTCATCCGAATCTGCATAGCCTTTGTTCGGGCAAGATATCGTCTTGTGGTCATAATGCGGTTGAAGAGTTCCACTCCTAACCAGTATAGAAGCTGTGCTAAAATCTGTGTTGTAATAATAGAATGTACGTCGTATAGATCTAACACAAATAGCGTTGATGAAAGTAAGGATGTAATATTCCGAGGCGACACCTGCGCCCTACGCTTCGGTGATGGTGGCCGAAGGCTCTTTTCAAGTGGCTCTGGCTTTACCTTCGTTCGCGAGCGAAACAGATTCCATTCGTTCTGGAAATGGACATCTTCAAAACCGGGAATGGTTTCGTGGTCAAGCATGGCTGTATCCAGAACTTTGTCCATCCGCCGCTCTGCATCCCGGATGATGAGTATAAAAATTTCGTGAATTAGTTCAGCAAGATGACGCTGAAATCCGGCTGTAGCTTCTACTAGCCGCCATCTTTCTTTAGGTAATGTAGGAGGAGAGTGGCATGA